GCCTTCTTTGGGATTATTTTATTTCATATTCTCCTTCTGTTTTCTTGTGTTACATTCTCTTATCTTTTAGAAAATACTGTAAAAATTGAAACATATACCCCTTATTTATTAACTTCTAAAAGAAATCAGTGCCTTCACCATTTTCACTTCCAAGACAATTCAAGGACTTCAGAATGCTTTAATTCCATTTACCCAGGGGTCCCTAATCCCCAGGCTGTACTGGTCAGTGGCCTGTTAGGAACCAGGCAGGACAACAGGAGGTGTGCAGCAAGCCGGCAAGCATTACTGCCTGAGCTCCACCTCCTGTCAGAACAGCAGCAGCATGAGATTCTCATAGGAGTGCAAACCCTATTGTGAACTGTGCATGAGGGATCTAGGTTGTGCACTCCTTATGAGAATCTAATGCCTGATGATCTGAGGTGGAACAGTTCTACCCCAACAGTATCCTCCCACTTCCTCTACCCCTCCACACACCACCATGAAAATGTTATCTTCCATGAACTCTGGTACCAGAAAGGTTGAGGACCACTGCATTTACCTCCCTCCACACTTACGTGTTTTGGTCATGTATTTTAGTTCTTTATATATTTAAGACCCCATAAAGTAAAAGTTGCTTCATTCATTCAATATTTATTTAGTTTTATACACATACTTACCTTTTCCATTGCCTTTCAAATCCTTTCTGGACCTCCAAGCTGTGTTTTGTGATCATTTTCCTTCTGCTCCAAGAACACCCTTTAGTACTTTCCTTTCATACTTCTGGTACTTTTCATTGGTGGTAAATTCTATTTTCCTTTGTCTGGACATGTCTTTGGAAGGATAGTTTTACCTGATGGTCTTCCAGGTTGGCTATTAATTTTCTTGAAGCTCTTTGTGTTAGGAACAAGCTGCCTTAGAAAACTCCCTCCACACAAGCTGACCCCTTCCCCCCACTCTGATTGCTCTGCTGCTGCATTCCTGAACCCATACCTAGGTGTCTCATTAAGGCTGCCAGGTGTGCTACAATTAAGCAAAGCCTGATTACAGCCATCCAGGCAGCTCGAGGGAGGACAGAGAAAATAAATGTTTGTTATCCATACTTGTAAATTCCTGTTTGACACATTATCTGTAAAAAGTCCTCGTTTCTCTTTTTTAAAACTGCCACCACAAAAGTCACAGATGTATTGTAGGTCTGTTACAAGTTGACAAACTATTTCTGTGCCTGTTACCAGTAGATAGATACCTCAGTCCTGAAACTCCCTTATGCCCCTATCACCCCATGTAAATCCCTCATTTTGTAAGCTCGGGTCTGCCTCCTCTGATTGTTATGGAGCAGCCTGGCAGGTTAATAAAACTTGCTTGCCTGACTTCGGGTCTATTCTCCTTTCTCTCAGCCAACCTGACACTTTGAAGACACCATTCCATTTTTCTCTATCATTACTTCTGCTGAAATCCCCCTATCAAGGCTTGCTATTGGTCCTTTGATAGTAATATATACTTTTCCTCTGGCTACTTTTAAAATTAGTCTTTGTTTTTCAGTTTTACTATAATTAGGTATAATTTTCTTTGTAACTTATCATGCTTAGAGGTCAACAGAATTTCTTACTTATGTGGCTTAATGTCTTTCATCAATTTGGGGACATCCTTGACTCTTTGAATAGTTGTCTGCCCTATCTACCCCCAGCACCAGTCTGGATATTTTCTTATTTTTCATGTAATTACCTGTCTCTTAAGTTGTGTCTATCAGAGCCATCTACTGATTTCTTAAATTGTTATATTATTTTCCAGTTCTCTCCTGAAGTTGTTCCATTTGGTCATTTAATTCATGAACATTTTAATCAGTTACTGTAAGGTACCCATCAGATAATGTGAACTATCTAAATTTCCTGGAGGTCTATCTGTTTCTATTGTTCACTTTCTCAATGTTAGTCAAATTGTGTTTTTGCATTCCTAATTTTTAAACAGGATTTGTCAACAATTAATAGAGAAAATTTGAGAAATTAGACCATGTTCTCCTCGCTCAGAGGTGATTTTTGCTTCTGGCCATCCACTAGATCTAAGGCTGGGCTTCAGTCCTTGTGAGGACAGGTCCATATCCAGTTCACCTTTAATCAAAGAGAAGCCCTTTGGGGTCCCAAAAGAAAGCCTGGGGCATTTTCCAGGGCCACTTCTACTTAGATCCCCAACTCTAATTTTTGTTCTCCATTAGTCTTCTAAAACTTCTGCTCAGTTTCTCAGCCCCTGCCCTTGAATTAGCAAGTCCCTTGAGGGGGAAATGAATAGTAACAAATGTAGGTCTCACCTCTCAGAATATTAGCCCTTGCTTTCTCAATAGGCCTCTGGTGCCTAAATAGATAGGTTTTCTCTTTTCCTCAGCAGAAGGGTTGGTACAAAACAAGCTCATCTCCCTTTGTTCAAGGCTAAACTCTCCACATTCCTTATATGCATAATTAATTTTGGAGTCCATGGTCTAGAGTAGAATAGACTTGGGTTCAGGTCACCATTGTGTTACTTACTAGCTGTGTGTCTTTCGGTGAGCTATTTAACTTCTTAAAGTCTTAGTGTCCCCATCTGGAAAACAGAAGTAACAGTGGTACCTGCCTTGACTTATTTTAAGGATTTTTTAAGATGCAGGCATAGCATTTAGCACAGAGCCAGGAATACAGCAAATACTTAAACGTAAATAATACCAAGTTTTAAAGCATTCCAAGTAACAGCTGTTATCACTATGTAATGGAAAGGATGGCACAATAGCAGCCTGTCTCCCATACATCCTCTGTGAAAGAGTAACTTGGGAAACATCCTACACAGCTCTACGTTTTTTCCACTTGTTCATCTTATGGCTTTGGAACACTTGGATGAAACAGCTTACTGCATGACATGAAATGGTTTGTGCAGGTGTTGCTATGCTCATTTTGGAAAGATGATCAATTGGAGGAAAGGTCTAAATTTAGCAGCAGGATCAAGAAAGTAAGCTTTGTCAAGAAGGCCCATGAAATTGGTCCCCTAAACTAGGGCCTCCAGGGTTTATCCCCAAAGTGTAATGGAAGGACAGGTGCAACCACTGAGGTTTGCTCTGGAAGGAGACAGGTCTTTTGCTGTCCTGCCCATATCAGGGCTGAGACTTCAGTATGCTTGGGAAATGTTTTCCACTTACTAAGAATTCTGGACAGTAAAAGGGCCCTAGAGGCTTTGAAACAGGAACCCTTAGTAATTATTCTCTGCTCTCTGTAAGAAAAAACCTTTCTTTTGAATATTCCATAGTAATTTTTAATAAAAGGCTTGCATTGTTCACAATATATTCAAAAAGGATTATTATTGATTTTGCTTTGTTTTAAAATGTTTAGCTATTAAAACATCCAAAATATTAATGTGTATAAAATACAACAAACATCCTTTGTACTCACCACGAGGTAGGTTTCTATCACTTTCCCAGGTTGCAGTTCCAATGTGCAATGCTAGCAATACCACCCGCAGATGTGAGCCAGCTGGCCAAACTGGGCCTCCCAGGAATGATCTGGTAGATGAGACCACCACACGCCAGAGCTTGGCAGTCCTGCACATCCAGCAGCACCATTCCAGATACCATAGACCTTAGGGTATGACTTACACCAGACTTCAAAAAAGCTGATGTATCACATTACAGTCATTCAACAGTGAGGCAAAACAGCCACTGGGACTGTACATTTGAGGCTCCAAATACGACCTTTCCTCCCACTAATTTACAAAGCTTTATTTCAACAGCAAAACTGCCACTAGGACTATACATTTGGGGCTCCAAATATGACCTTTCCTCCCAGTAATTTGCAAAGCCTTATTTCAACAGTGATGGTACAAACAGCCAGAGAAACTAGTTAGTATGCTGGTAAGCTATGGCATCTAATTATGTCACCAAAGTATGGTATGAATGTCTCCAATTCTCCAGCCCTCCAGATGACCCTTTTCTTTTACTCACCTAACATGATCTGATCCTCTCACTGAAGATCTAGTCTTTACGGTAATGTATAGCAATGTAAGAAGTCCTAAAAGTGTTTATATTCCAGAAACATATATCCTGGTTGTTACTAGTCAACATCTGGCCTTGAGACCAGTGTCTGATTACCTCAGCCACCTAGGTACCGTCTGGCCCCAGTATGGACACAGCCCCTTCCTAAATCATCCAAAACACGGCTGACACTAGGCTGCAGTTTTTGACAAAGACTTACTGAATGTGAGGCTAACACATGGGAATTAACAATGCAGGAAAAATAATTAACAGTGGCTCATGCATTCCAGTGTTCTTAGAACCCTTCACAGGAGTTTATAACCAGGATCTTTCTCCTTAGGCCCCAGCCTGCTGCTAGGAGGCAGGGACCTGCTCATTTCCTCCAGAGGGGTGGTCCCACAATGCTGACCATCCCCACTGAATTCTACAGCTCCAATTCTCTACTCTCCAGCTCCCAAAAGAAATGAAACTGATCAGTCTCATAATTATCGCTGCATTGTCTCCCCACCCTGTACCTGCATTAGGCTCTGACCCACGGAGCATTTCTACCAGCTTTGATAGTTCATTTATTTAGCTCCCAGGTTAAAATCCAGACCCTTCTTCTGGATGGAATAATTGCATCAGTCTTGAAACCAGCCATCCCTAATCATGGATCCAAACTGTTCAAATGTGCCATAGGTCACTCTGCTGAACGTCTGCCAATTCTGTTTTTTTCCTATTGCAAACAATGCAATGATTATCTGGAAAGCTGAATCTCACACATGAATGACATCCTTTCAAACTTCTGCTGGCACTTATCCAGGACTGAACTAAATTCCAGGTTCTCCCCAACTTCATCCATTCTATATAGTGAGAGAAACAAGGAAATAAATGTAAACTGCAACAGTTTTAAAGGCAAAATAATAAACTGTGCTTCCAAGGAAAAGCCTCCCAAAGAATTGGCACTTATGCCGAGATCTGATGAGTGATTAGTGTTAGTGAGGTAAAGAAGGAAAAGAAACTGCATATGTTTGCAGCAAAAGAACAGCTATTTTAAAAGTTCTGTGGCTGGAAGAGCAGCCTAGTTAAAACAGGAATTAAGGGGAGCTCAAACTGACAGGAAGCGAGGGCACAACCTTTCGAGATTTTTGTAAGCCATGTTCATTAGTCTCATCTGTATTCTGGGAATAACAGGATGACACTGAATGATTCTGTGCACAACTTGAAAATCTGATACTTGCTGGAAAGGCTATATTCTATTTTATGTTCCCCTACAGTTTCACCAACACTGAATTTCATCTTATGAATCTGGTAGTTTTAACTACTAGATACTACTTTTTTTCATATTTATTACCCATTTCCTATTGGAGTGATTATTTTTTTACTAGATACAATTTTTTTTTTTTTTTACTGGACTGAATTTAAGACTTCATTTATCACTTTTTCTATCTTTTTTCCAATTATTTGCCTTTAAATTACTTATGTCAAAACATTATATACTTAGCAATCTTTAAAGATTCTGCCATTCTCTCATTCCAATGTTATATAAATTTTCACCTATATATTCTTATTATTCCCACGATTTGATTGTTCATATTCAGTCATGACCTCTTAACATTTATAAATAGAAATCTAACTTTACTTTTCAAAGGGTTAACTAACCAGTCATCCCTTGAAAATGTCACTTTTATCATTATAAGCAAACAAATCAGAAAATAATTTATGGATGTTTTCTTAATCTTCTACTCTGTTCTGCTACCTAATCATATACTCCTGGGCCAGTACCACACTCATAATTCAATAGTGCATTTCATGTGAGATAAAGTTCTCCCATCCATATTTGTTTTACTTAGCTATCTAATAAGAAACTGCCTTCTTATGACATATTAAATTGGCTTGCACAGGGATTTTTAAATCAATTAATGAGGTTTCAGACAATCTAGGAGATATCCATCTGGAATGGAAAGAGGTGTAAATGACCTTTAAGACTTCAACCCTTCAAAACAACTACTAAAATTCACATAAATTTTTGCATGTAATGGGGGAAGAGTTTGAACAAATATCCCATAAGAATGTTTACCATAATTGACTTTTTATTTAAAAAATTACAGGGAGCAACTTCCAGCATATCTTATGTTATAAAAGTACTGCCTGTATCAAACATTTTATATCACTTTAATTCCATTGAAGAGCTGCCTTTTTCTGTTAAGGTACTGATTCCAATTGATGGGATACATGCCCTTAAAATAGAAAGTTTCCATTACTTATTCAAATGTCAAAATTAAGATTATTGAGAAGTTTATTGCTTTATGGCTGGGCAAGATGCTACTAGCACATTTTAGGTAAATAATATCCTTTATTAAAAACTATGAGGTCATTCTGTTTAAAACTTTCAAGATAATTCACAGAAAATAGATATATTTATTCAAATTAAACATTAAAGGGCTGGGCTACTAGCTATAGACATTTATATGTGAAGCAGCTCTTTTTTTGTTTTTGAGACTGAATCTCACTCTGTTGCCCAGGCTGGAGTGCAATGGCCCAATCTCGGCTCACTGCAACCTCTGCCTCCTGGATTCAAGCAATTCTCCTGCCTCAGCCTCCTGAGTAGCTGCGATTACAGGCGAGTGCCACCACACCTGGCTAATTTTTTTGTATTTTTAGTAGAGGCGGGGTTTTACCATGTTTGTCAGGCTTGTCTCAAACTCCTGACCTCAGATGATCCACCCACCTCGGCCTCCCAAAGTGCTGGAATTACAGACGTGAGCCATGGCGCCCGGCCAATAAAGCAGCTCTTTAAAGAATAAGACACAAAAATAGGTCTGTCTTGGTATACTATACATAATTGAAATGAGTAACACCTGGAAGACCAATATTGTTACACTATGTTCTGTTAGGATCTTAAAAAAAAAATCAAACATTTAGTAGTCCTTTTGTGCTTAAAATATTCATATGCATGAGAAGCCTAAAGAAAAAAACACCTCTGTACATGATGATCAAAAGAAAGTTATAAATTTTTTTGAAATTGCACTGTTATTTAAACCTCTTTCCTAAAGTCAGACCCTCCTTGTAGCTGGCACAGTTTTTCAGGTCAATTGGCAACCTGGGGAGGCCCCTCTGGTATTAGTGAAGTAAAGAAGGTGGTGATGAAAGACCAAGCTGAAGCCATTAATCCAGGCCTCTGAATTGCACTGGCATCTTCACCTGCATCTTCTCCACTTTCATCTTCAAGCCCATCATCCATAAGACGCTCCTTTCAAGCAAAACGAGAAACATAACGTGAACAAGTATTAGTTCATGATAGAAGAGAGTTAAATTCTTCTTTGTAGAACAAAGGAATATGAAGTGCTATGCATGTGGTCATTAGAAATCTTTAAGGCCAAAACTGATAAATTCCTCAGTGATCCAGTATAAAGGGGACAACTGCCAATGCAATACAATAAATGCTCACCATGTGTATAATTTTATTTCTAGGCTATTTTCAGGAAAAAAAATGTTAGTTCTTCCCATTTAGTTCTAATATATGACTGATTCGGTATTATATTCTAAGTTATCCCAGATGAAACCACCACAATTTATGTTAACTTGCTTTGATGTGCCATTTCACAAATACTTATGGAACAACCATCCAATATTCTTTCATCATGTTGGTGCCATGCAGTGCTGGGAAAATCTCTGTATCTAAAGTATAAAAAAGTTTCAATTACATACCATTTCTTCAAGTTCCAAGTTGTTTGCATTTTGCCCATCATTGTTAACTTCGGGATTATTGTTGGGAGCCTGCTGATGACCTCCTTCTTGCCTAAAAGGGAACCATCCAGCTTGGTGTCTGTTCAGTAAAATAAAGAGAAAATAAAATAAGTCACAGTTCTTTTTATTTGTAATACTATAAAATGTTTAAATTAGTGTCCTACAAGAGAAAAATGATTAGAACTATAATAAATAAAAAGACCAAATCTCCCACTTCAGGCCAGTGAAATACCCTTGTCAAAGCAATGACAGCAAAACAAAACCAACCCAAATCTCTAAGTCTATCATGGACTTCATTGGCTCTATGCTAGTTATTAAGACATATCAGGAATCATAAATCTTTTCTAGTATTTTTCAAAATGAAATACAACTTAGATATTTGTTTGCCCCTTGGAGAGAAGGGAGCAGGGGAAAAATAGTCTAGCTATGAAAAAAAATCTGGTTTATACCTATAGGGCTTACTGTTGGCAATTCTAATCAAAGAGGATGGCTTTATGCAGTAGTGCATCATATATTTCTTAAATTCTAAGTAATGGATAGAGTATGTCTCACTGAATAAACAATTTTTATAAAATGCAGTAAACAAAAATTCTGCTTCTAAATAATTCTGATAAATATTCTCACTCAACAAAACCTGCCCTTACTTTTGGTATCAAAAACATGCTAGATATCTAAAGCCCAGCATTCATATTCCTTCACTCAAAATTCACAACAGACCAGATTCTGTGCTGAACAGTTGCAGAAATTAAAAGAAACCACAAAAAGTTAATAAACATCACTCACAAATAAACCAGTAGCATGGCTCCCATTACCATGATAAACCGACTAAAAGAAGAATAGAAGTATACAATGCTAAGGAGAATCGCAGCTCGTGAGAACGTGTACATCCAGTCTAGCCAGTCTCGATTGAAGTCTTCTTCATTTAGTACTGGGCCTCCCTGTGCATTCATTTGAACATTTTCATTCATGGGTTGATTTTCTTGGGCCACTAGGTTTGGAGCTGGTGGGGGTTCTTCTCCAGGAACATGTGCCAAATTTAGAGGCTGTGAAGCAGTAGGCTGGGTTGGGTTGACATTTGATGTGGCCTGAGCTGAAACTGCTGCTTGACTGAAATAGTCACCAAAATAAATATTAAAAAGAAAAAAAAAAACTTTACTATACCATATTTTTTAAACTTCTTGGGGAGCTATATGTATTTTTCATAAACCTAATATGAAATATCCCAACTCCTGCACCACATTTCTTAGGTAAGTGCAAATTCCAGTGGAAAAGTGGAGCCAAGGTTGATGGTAGATGTCACACAGGAAAGGATGTTCTCTTAGCCTGGTACTGTAAGATGACAGGGGAAAGGCGAAGACATGAGAGCAGCCATGTTAACCACTCTTGCCTCTCTTTCAATCAATTACCTTATAAGCTAATGCGATGTCCAAACCTTTTCATGAATGACCCCTTTTGGTGTTCTACATGGGATGAAAATTCTCAAGCCCATCACCTACTTCTTTGTCAGACCCATGTTCTGAAAGACTTGTCTAAAAATATATACTATTATTATCCTATGTGTCAACTGTCAATGATAAATGATTTGTATGAGTATTCTAAAATTCTAACTACATCTCAGACAACCACTCTTTCACCCCAATACTGATTTGAAAGAACTCCAACTGGAGACCACTGGTCCCTGTCAAGTTAGAAAGAATTGTGATCCTCAGATTTGCTTATAATTTGATTGCTTAAATTTTCCCAGTAAAGAATAAATTTCCCAGTAAAGTGATAATAAACCTTAGATTTGCTTTAAATTATCCAACAGAAGGGGAAAAGTTATAAAATAAGACTGACATCAATTGATAAATGTGAAAGCTGGGTGATGGGTATACATGGATTCCTTTTACTACTCTACCTTGTTATGTTTTTAAATTTTTCTACAATAAGTTAACAATCAGGATAGCAAAGGAAAGTTAAATAAATGGTTCCCAGGCTACAAAATCCTATTTAAGCCAGTATGATAGTAACATTTATCTGTACAAGGCTTTTTGGTTTAGAAAACACAATTCCTACTTCATGGATATTCTGATACACAGGTGAGTTACTTTATCTTAAAGAGGAGAATCTGAGGCTCCAAAGTTAAATGATGTACACAGAGCATATTATTTAGCAGCAAGCATAATAAGCACCCCTAATCTTACACAGTTCTTGTGAGGTTCACAAAAGAGACAAGGTGGGGTACAGCATCCAGCAGAGTACTGAGCACAAAGCAGTCACTCAAATGATAATCATTACCATGGCAACATGTAAGGTACAAACATCCTGCCTGGAGCCAAGGGCTTATAGGATACGAGGTTCATAAAGCAGTGTAGCTTTACGGGGAAAGGTCTGGAGGAAGAACAAGGATGTAGACTTCACAGTAAGCAAGAGAATCAGAGGATATCTGGGTGGCTGTGGGAATAACTGACTTAATTATGTGTTAAGAAATGCAACCTGGCAAACCGGGCATGGTGGCTCACACCTGTAATCCCAGCACTTTGGGTGGCTGAGGCAGGTGGATGGATCACTGGAAATCAGGAGTTCAACATCAGCCCAGCCAATGTGGCAAAACCCCCATCTCTACTAAAAATACAAAAATTACCCAGGTGTGGTGGCACACTTTTGTAATCTCAGCTACTTGGAGGCTAAGGCACGAGAATTGCTTGAACCCAGGAGGAAAACACTGGAATGAGCCAAGATTGCACCGCTGCACTCAAGGCGACAGAGCGAGACNAAAAAAAAAAAAAAAAAAAGAAAAGAAAAGAAAAGAAAGAAATGTAACCCATAGAAGTATAAGAAACTATAGTAAAAAGGCTAAAAGGAGAAAGAGCTATTGAAGTCAAGTGGACTTAGAATGAGAAAAGATCTAGGTGAAACATTGGACAAAAGCTCTATTAACTCATCTTTATAAATTACTGCTTTCAGAGATAGCAGAAGCCAGAATCAAAGCTGCTTATGGCTAAGAGCTTGGGTAACAATTAAGGAGAGATAGTATCACTGACAAAGAAGTGAGAAAAAAAGAAGGCACTTAAAGAGCAGAGGCATCTAATTTTAGATGTACTGAAATTTGAGGTAAAGGCTCATTCCCCTATGGAAATCTTCCAACAATAAAGCAGAGACACAGAATGAATTACAGGATATGAAGAACTGGGATTCATCCACAGAGAGCTAACAACTAAAGCCATGGAAAAAAAGAAATCCAAGAGAACTGCCCCCACAACTAAATCCCATCCTCCCTACCAACTATGAGTGCTGAGAAGCACATAGTAACAAATACATGATGAACTGGGAAAGAAATGTTAATAAAATGAGCTATTAAAGGATGCAAAAAGAGTGACCAGAAAGATAAAAAAAAGATACAAAAGACAAAAAGAACCACAGAAACAAGGAGAGGAGAATGGTAAAGAGAAGCTAATCAATGGTAAACGAATGCAGAAGAATGAGTCCAGGAGGATGAAGACTCAGAAACTGTTCTCAACGCTAGGACTGTCCCATGCTGACCAGAATCAAAACGGACTAAATACTGAGAGTCCAGTAAGCATATCAGCCACTCTTGAGTCCTATATAAGCTATGGCCTCCCTGACATGATTCTATTCCTTTTTTCATTCAGCTAACTCTTCATATAGATTTGCTGCCTTTCAGTAGAACATTAAGTTTTCTGCTCCTGAATTTATAAAATGTTATATTAAAGAATCTGAATACTGCTAAATATAATTAGGGAAGAGAAGGAGGAACCAAGAACAGGGTTAGTCCATGTGAACTGGAGGTGAGCCCTTTTTCCTTTGGTCAAATAATTTAAAATAAAGTATCTGCTAAAATGTTTGTGAATTCCTTCTCATGATAATTTCAAACAACATTAAATACATAAGCAAATGAAATCCCAAATCAATTTACTTAGGATTAAAAAAAAAAGCAAATAACACACTCAAAAAAATGAGCTCAGATTAACTTACTACTGCATATAATACTGATGAGCATACATCTGTTGCCACCACAGCATCTGCAGTGGGCTAAATGCGGGGTACACTGGGAATCCAGGTGGAGCAGCTTGCCCAGGAAACTGGTTGTCTACATTTCTGCAAGAAAAAAATAATGAGCTCTTTCAATGCTCTAGCAATTAAAAGTGTTATTCTAAATTTTCATTTCTCAACCCCAAGTCAACCATTGACAGAATATATTTAAATCTCACTGAAAAAAAAAAAAAAAAAACTTATTTTCAACAATTCTTCAAACAAGACACTATATCTTTTATAGGTTGACCCTGGGCCCAACTACATAGAATAACTAACGTTTCAGCCCAGTTTTAAAGGGAAAACAAAGAGAGACACTCACAAAATGTAAAGCCAATCTGAACATTTATTATCTTCTCATTTCAGCACAGAAAGCCAAAATTACCTTCATTTTAAGTACATTCTCCTAAGAAACAAAGCCCTAAAATAAATTTCATGACAAAATATTTTGCGGAATGGGGAAATAGACAAATGATATTTTATATAATAAAATGTTATTAAAATATAGCAGCTATTAGCTGTAAAATAAAAAATGGACATTACAAAAACCTGTAAAATATTCTTTAAAGATACAAGATTAGCAGAATATGTTCATGTATACATTCTTAAAGTAGGTTAAAATTTTACAGTATTTCTTTTTATTTATTTAATTTATTTTTTTTTTTCTTGAGATGGAATCTCGCTTTATTGCCCAGGCTGGAGTATAGTGGCATGATCTCAGCTCACTGCAACCTCTGCCTCCTGGATTCAAGCAATTCTCCTGCCTCAGACCCACAAGTAGCTGGGACTACAGGTATGCACCACGACACTTGGCTAATTTTTTTGTACTTTTAGTAGAGACAGGGTTTCATTGTGTTGGTCAGGCTGGTCTCAAACTCCTGACCTTAGGTGATCCACCCACCTCGGCCTCCCAAAGTGCTAGGATTAAAGGCATACGCCATCGCACCTGGCCAAATTATATTATTTCAATAAAACTTGTGGAAGGTCACACCTAACTTCTCTATACTTCGGTTTTCTCACTTCTAAAATGGACCTAATAATAGAATCTTCCTCACAGGATTCTTACCCTGTATTCAGGAAATGTTAGTTTTATTTTTACTTTTCCCCATTCCAACACTGAACATGATGCCAAAGTGTACAATGTGAGATTTGTAGAAAATCACATATATCACTTGTAAATGTATCACATATATCATTTGTAGAAAATCACAAGGCAACTACAGAGATAAACAGATAAGTAAATGCAGAATTATTTGTGAATTTGCTAACTCTTTTTCACATTACTTGAATTTTATCTTTAGCTGATACTAGTTTGGTCTATCCAGAGTGAGACAAGAATGATTAAATTCATTAACTGTAATTTTATATTCTAAAGACTGTTTATACATACAATTGGTAATAATTATAAAAACCTAACTTAGAAGAGCTTGGGGAGCTAAGGCTTATCAATAGGCTGTATTTAAGAAAACCGGGTGCTAGGTAAGGCATCACCTTCCCCACATATTACCTGAACTTTCCTCATTCCTTATTTCCTTATTCTTGGTGGAGCACTGGGAACCATATAGTGTCCCATCCTCAAAAGACCCTTCAACCTCCCAGTATTTTATATATACAGCTAGTGCTCGACTTACAACCACGATTGGGTCCGACAGACCGGTCATAACACGATTTGGTCGCAAGTTGAGTAGGCTATATGCACGCGGAGATGGTAGTGCTGCCGGAAGCTGGTCCGCACTGTCGTACGCCCAGCTGGGCAACGTTTGTGCTGCCAGACGCGGGGCAGTCGTGGCTAGCGATTGTGGTCGTAAAGTCGAATGGTCGTAAGTTGCATCAGTCGTAAGTCGATCAATACCTGTATATATAAAGCTTTACCCCCATTTTATATATATATAATATATATATATATATTTTTTACTCCCAAGCTTTACATATATATATATATGTAAAGTGGGGGTAAAGCTTGGCCAGTGCCCTTTTATATATATATATATATATATATATCCCCTTCAAATAGGGTCCTGTATAAAGGGGAGAAAACTTCAACTCTCTTGGACACAGGACAACAGATGACAGACAGCCCTTCTCTTCTCAAAAAAAGCAAACCTCAACCCAGCTATTCCTTTAAAAAGATGTCAGTTAGTGATCAACTCTGGAGAGAAAGCCATACCACTGAGGCAGTGAAGTACTACAAAAACATTTGTTTTATACAACTCAGCATTTATACCAAGGAGCTGATGCATCTCTGAGCAAATCCATAAAACTACCTGAATAAAGTATTATAGCAATATGTTGTATCCATGTGTATATTTTAACTTTTATTAGTATTCCCCATTATGAAAAAACCCATCCCCCGAAAGTAAATCTCCACCAATCTCTACCATTAATAAGAATGTCAAATAAATCTGTTACTTCAACTGTAAAATGGGAAGGTTGGACATTGTCATTGTTTTTAAAGCTCAAAGGAGAAAAAGAAGCCACTAACAAATACTTTTAAAAAGTTATGGCTTCCCACCTCACCCTACTGCATGCTGCCCAAAACAAAAGGAGAATGTATGGTGACTACTGAAAATATGTTGCCAAAATAAGTAAATAAATAACCTCCCCAAAGTATTCTTCCCTTTTTCTCCAATAAGTTAGAAAACTACTGGATTATATAATTGCTAAATACATCCCAGGCCCAAGATGACATACTATAATTTTTGGTTGTGTTCATTACCCTCAGACAAGGTGGTATGCATTTGATATTCCCCAGAAACAAGGAATAAAGGATTTGATGCTAAATTATAAATTTATTAATAAAATATATGGGAATAGATCCAATGAAACACATTACTTAAGAACTTAATCTGTTTTAGAGGATGCATCATTAAACAAGTTAAAGAGAATTGTTATTTGGTGCTGAGAAAAAAGATTACCAAATTTGTAGAGTAAGGGAGTTTAAAAGCTTCATCTCATTCTATATATTCAAATAAGAGAATTAAAATAAACTATTAAGAATTAAACCACAAATAACCTAGAAGAAACTAGAATTATTTACCAACCCTTTGTAGGAAGGACTTTCCTAACTTAAGTAACAGAAGAAAGCAGGAAAAAAACCCAACATATTTGAAAACAAAATTTAAAGAGAAATGGCTTAGAAAGAAATGTTAGCATACCAGCACAGTGGCTGATGCCTGTAATCCCAGCACTTTGGGAGGCCGAGGCAGGCAGATCACCTGAGATCAGGAGTTCAAGACCAGCCTGACCAACATGGAGAAACCCCCATCTCTACTAAAAATACAAAATTCGCAGGGCGTGATGGTGCATGCCTGTAATTCCAGCTACTCAGGAGGCTGAGGCAGGAGAATCTCTTGAACCTGGGAAGCAGAGGTTGCAGTGAGCCAAGATAGCACTATTGTACTCCAGTCTTGGCAACAAGAGTAAAACTCCATCTCAGAAAAAAAAAAAAAAAGAAGTTATAGAAACAGAAGTAATCATTAGGATACCAAATACGAATTAAAGCAAAGATAACTTTTTTTAAGTTTGTTTGCCAAGGTAGAAAAGACTGAATAAAAATATCCATTATTGGCAAAAGGGACAAGTAAAGACTAACTCTTTTCATTGCTAATGGTAGTATGAATTTGAATAAGCCTTTAAAACACAATTACACAATTAAAGACCTTTAAAAATGTTTTGCTCTATGGAAAGAAATTATATGCCCATGAATAAAAAGAATCAATATCATTAAAATGGCCATATGATCCAAAGCACTTTGTAGATTCAATCCAATCCCTATCAAACTGCCAATGACATTCTTCACGGAACTAGAAAAAAAAACTTTTTAAAATCCATATGGAACCAAAAAAGAGCCTGCATAGCCAAGGCAATCCTAGGCAAAAGGAACAAAGATGGAGGCATCATGTTACTGGACTTCAAACTACTGCAGGGCTACAGTAACCAAACCAGCACAGTACTGTCATAAAAACAGACACACACCAATGGAACAGAATAGAGAGTCCAGAAATAAGGTTACACACCTACAACCACCTGATCTTTGATAAAGCTGACAAAAACAAGCAATGGGGAAAACTATTCAATAAATGGTGCTGGGATAACTGGGTAGCCATACGCACAAGATTGAAACTGGACCCAACTTCCTTATATCATATACGAAAATCAACTCAAGACGATTTAAAGACTTACATGTAAAACTCAAGACTATAAAAATCCTAGAAAACAACCTAGGTGATAACATTCTGGACACAGGAATGGGCAAAGATTTCATGACAAAGATGCCAAAAGCAAGGGCAACAAAAGCAAAAACTGATAAATGGGATCTCACTAAACTTAAGAGCTTCTGCACAGCAAAAGAAACTATCAGCAGAGTAAACAGACATTCTACTGAATGGGAGAAAACATATGAAAACTACACATCAGACAAAGGTCTAATATCTAGCATCTATAAAGAACTTAAACAATTTTTTTTAAAGAAAAACATTAAAAAGTGGGCAAAAAACATAAACACACACTTTTCAAAAGACATACATCCAGCCAACATGCAAATGAAAAAAAGCTCAACATCATTGATAATTACAGAAATGCAAATCAAAACCATAATGAGATACCATCTCACACCAGTCAGAATGACTACTATTAAAAAGTTAAAAAATAACAGATGCTCGCAAGGTAGCAGAGAAAAGGGAACACCTATACACTGTTGGTGGGAGTGTAAGTTAGTTCAACCATTGCGGAAAGCAGAGTGGTGATTCCTCAAAGAGCTAAAAACAGAACTATCATTTGACCCAGCAATCCCATTACTGGGTATATACCCAAAGAAACATAAAATCATTCTAATATGCACGTGAATGTTCATGCAGCACTATTCACAACAGCAAAGACATAGAATCAACCTAAATGCTCATCAATGACGGACTAGATAAAGAAAAGTACATAAACACCATACATATATACAGTGCAGCTATAAAAGAGAATAAGATCATGTCTTTTGCAGGAACATGGATGGAGCTGGAGGCCATTATCCTTAGCAAACTACAGGAACAGAAAACCAAATACCACATTTCTCACTT